AGTATTGATTAGTGTATTGGGTGTATTCCTCATACTATCACTAATGATTAATGTTATTATATAACTGTGTGTTACTGCAAGAGGAAAGGAAAGAATGATCAAAGTATGTTAATTTATGTTAAAGATTTACTATGATGAATTGTATTACAGGTTCACAAGAGCAAGAACTATCATCAGTTAATCCACAGTATGAGAATGTACATCTACCAGTTCCACAGTCAGAACTATCAATGAAAGAATGTGCTGCTTATGGTGTAGTGGAAGGTACTAGGTTTTAAGACTTCATGATAATCAACTATTAAAGTTTTTGTAATTTGAAAGTAAATTTTGTACTGAGCATTTTTCAATTTTTCCTTTTAGTAATGTCATATATGTCCTACCCCCAGCCCCCTAATACTATACCTTGTACTATAGCCCATGGTTTTTTCCAAAAAATGGCTCCAAAATCACCTTAAATTTTTACTACATCCTTATGCGGAGTAGAAAGTTTGAGCTAATTCTGACTAAAAATTTTGGCCATTTTAGAAAATTGGCCAATTTGCCATATCTTGTACCATATTAATATAATTTTTATAAATTTTAAAGGAATTTGCACAATGCAAATTCAACAAAATTGCACCCTTCAAAAAGCACTTGTATGTCATTATAGTAGTTAGTATTGTGCTCATACCTACATATGTATACTGATCCTGTGCAAACATGTAGCTACTACTAGACTGCCAAAGTACCAATGGTGGGAGAGCATGCATATAGTAAATAAAATTAGGAACACTCTGAAAATTTTCAAAAAACATTACAGTCTGTGGTGTTTTATTAAAATTGCATTACACCACACCTTCAATTCACACAGGGTCACACCTATGGTCACACCTCCATGATCATGGCTCCTATTCTGTTTGTTGCTGTAATTATGGTCTCCAAAATTTACATGTCTTGTAAGTTTTATTGTGATACCATCAAAATAATAATAATTATTATTAATTTTAGATGCAAGTATATCATTCACTATTGTACCAGTGACACAATATGTATATATCAATGATACTGTCACATTCAAGTTGAGTGTGGTGCTAATGGGACTGAATACACCCTTGTTATTCTTAGTAGAGGAGTACCACTATCTTTGCTAATATCTAAAACATTACCTAATGGTATAAGGTTGCTATGCTATCCTTTAATTTAACGGCAACTAATGCATCAAATGGAACTGACGTTACCTGCCTATCATTTGGTGATAATGGAAATGCCACTGAAACTGCCTATCTTTATGTTCAAGGTAATTGTCAATATTATAATATAGACCTGTAATATTATAAATATTCTCAGGTCCACCTGATAGTGTCAGTAATTTAACAGGATATCAGTTAGATTCTTGTTGTATGTTTATCAGTTGGTATCCTCCACTCACACTACCAGGACTAACAGTACAGTATATAATCAGTGTAGGAACTGATCAACAGTACCTTAATGACTCTATCACTAACTACACTTACTGTCCAATAAACCCAACCAATAACCAATATCTGTTTAACATTACATTAGATTTCAGGTAAGTAAGTATTACTGTAATAAATTTGATTTATTATTATTTCTTTATAGGTTCACAAATTTCAATTGTTTATCAAGATTCCTATACATATCACATTAACAATTATTGGTACCTTCATTTCCTTTTATCAGTAAGTTAGCCTAACGTACAATGCCCACACAACTTTATTTACATTCACAGGCTCATCAGTTGTGTACTGGAGTACCACTTGTTAATATTACATTATGTACTCTTAATAATTCTTGTGTGCTTATTCTAGCAAAAACATTTTGCAATGTGCATACACAGGTATTACAGTGGAACTTCTGAATAAAAAACTTTTGGGACAACAATTTTTTTCATTACATGAAAGTTTTCATTAAAGAAGAGAAGTTTTTTAATTAATAGGGAATGAAGTTGGTGCATTAAAAATTTTTCATTGCATAGAGGTTTTTGTTAAAGAGAAGTTTCATTATCAGAGGTTACACTGTACTTATTATGTTTAATGAATAAGGACTTTGTACTTTTAGAATTATACTTTTTAAAGCTACCAAGGTTAGCTCAACCATAGTTATGCTTGATATTGTGTAATAATTCTCACATGATTAACTTGTCATACTCTCTCTCAATTATAAATTCAAGCAGTATTACTGTTGATCTAGGTGTCACTTTGTTTTGGCTATTCTGCATGTAAAATATCAATAACTGTTTTGATGTGATAGCACAATTTCTTGTTAAATAAAAGAAGGTATGTATTAAGGTTATTGTAACATTATCGTTATTTCATTTTAAGGGAATTATCAGATCACTGAATCATTGTCTCAGTACTTCTCAATGAATTATTAAGCAATACGGTATTGCATATCATGATTGAGTCAGCAGGTATCGTTTCATGTAAGTTGTGGGGAAAAATTATATTCTTGCCCAATTTCCTTTTTGGTTACTTGTGTCTGCAGGTGTACTTACATATGGAGTTCTTATGAGTTATTGGCCTTGCCCAGCTTCACGAATTATTGGCCTCGCCCAGCTTTGTGTAGGCGAGGAATAGTTTTAACTTACTTTATTCATACTATTGATGTAGAATTTTCTCAGAACATGATGAATAGACTATGTACAATTATGTTGACATAATTTAACTTCCCTACGATATTTACTAAGAATAATAATAAGAATCAGCTTTGTCCTACACTAATGTTAAACATATTGTAATACTGAGAAAGCATTTTAACCAGAATAAGACATGTATATGTTTAAAAGATTAGGATGGACGTTCGATTCAAAACACACTTGTTGTTTGTCTTACTATGCTCCACCTGTACTGTTCCCATCTACTGTTGATTGTATAAATCACTCCCATCATTGGTTTGTCTGCTTTTCTAATTGGATGCATTATCCAAGTACTAGAAAGTATATTTAAACTCTTGCTATTGTATAGATATCAACTTACATAATTTATCTATGCATTACAGATAGTATTTATTATTGATTCACAGCGAGTGAATATCATTGTGCCTAATGTAATTTGATGTGGGTGGCTAGCTAGTTGGGTGGCATTGCTTTATTATCTATAGTAAACAACCTCTTTAGTTTTTATTTGCCTTACCCATACACCTTGTATGGGTGGGGGACTGGGGGTCAGGTTGTTTGTCTGTCTGTCTGTTTGTCCTTGTGTAGGTGGGTACTAATTTATTGCAGCACAGTAAGTTTGTTAAGATTTTGCTAAGTTTTAAAAATTACAATTACCCGGTACATAAATACAGCCACAAGCATCAGAGCAATAAACATGTGTATATATCTAGCTCATTCAAATTCAATGTTATTTATTATAAGCTTACTTTAATGACTATAGCGTAAAGTATGTTTGTAAAAACAAGTTGTTGATCAGTTAAAAAGCATGAGAGAGAAGAATTTGTATTCTCAAAGGACAACTAGCCCACACAAAACTTGTCGATAATCATGTGTAATGTCTTTATAACAAACTTTTGATCAAAATCAGCTCAAACTTGAAATACAACATAAGTACATGTATCTTAGGGTATGTATTAATTGTAACACTTAATTTTAGCATTTTTGAGAGTGTACTTACTAATTCAAACCAGCCACTAATAATAGTCATTATGCTCCTGTGTAAACAGTACACAAGATAGGCAAGATCTGTAACAAGATAACAGTAGATAGGGTGATCCTATTAAGTGTTCTGCTCTTAAATAGATACATTGGGCTTCTTAAGTTGTGTTATGCTATTGAATGGGGTTTTACCATTGATTTTCTTCCTATTTTTGCTAATATTACATTTCACTAAATCAGGATCCCCTTTTAAAATGCTAAAATTTAAGAGCGCAATTAATACCCACCCCAATTAAGGTATATGTATCAGGACAAATTATAAAAATGGAGGCTTTTCCTAACCATTTTTATGTACTATACACTCAGAGCTTTTGTTATTCTGATTTGAGAAGTGGTTATTACTATTACTATGACATAGGAACATAAGACTCTATTGGATAGTATTCCTGTATGTCTGTTTATGAATATCATAATGATGTTGCCATGACACCATGGTAGCAACATGCATTCTAATTTTGTAGCTACATGTGTCATGTGTCACCAATGTACATGTACATATATCAACAGTTATACTGGTCCAGTACAAACTACAAGCATGCCACTACTACTAGACTGCCAAAGTAACAATGGTGGGAGAGCATGCATATAGCAAATTAAAATAATTAAAAATTAGGAACACTCTGAAAAGTGTTAAAAAGATTATAGTCTGACTGTGGTGTTTTATTAAAGTTGCATCAAATTTCAATACAAATATCAATCATACCACACCACACCTTCAATTCACACAGGGTCACACCTTCAAGGTCATGGCTGTTTCTCAGTTTGTTGCTGTAATTATGATCTCCCAAATTTACATGTCTAGTAATTTCTATTTTGATACTAAAATTATTGTTATATGCTAAAAATCTTTTTAGGTGCAAGTATCTTCACTATTGTACCAGTGACACAATATGTCTATGTCAATGATACTGTGACATTTGAGTGTGCCACTAACTTGACTGGATATATTATTTACTTCGATACTAATGCACCAGTTACTATTTCACAATCAACAGAAATATTACCTAATGGTGGAAGGATAGTATCATTCAACTTAATAGCAACAAGTGAAGTAAATGGTACATCTGCTACCTGCCGTGCAACCAGTGGAGCTGCCACTGAAACAGCGTACATATATGTACAAGGTCAGTATTACTGTAGATCCAGCATGTTAGTTCACTTACATATTTTGTATGATATAATTTTAACTAACATTGACAGGTACACCTGATAGTGTCAGTAATTTAACAGGATATCAGTTAGATTCTTGTTGTATGTTTATCAGTTGGTATCCTCCATTCACACTACCAGGACTAACAGTACAGTATATAATCAGTGTAGGAACTGATCAACAGTACCTTAATGACTCTATCACTAACTACACTTACTGTCCAATGAACCCAACCAATAAACAATATCTGTTTAACATTACAACTACTAATAAAGCTGGGAATGGATCTACTAGTAACATAACTGTTGGATTTCAATCAAGTAAAAAGCATCATAATTTGATTTATTATTTCTTCATAGGTTCACAGATTTTAATCATTTACCAAGATTCTTATACATATCGTGTAAACAATTATTGGTACCTTCGTTTCCTTTTATCAGTAAGTTATAAGTTAGCCTAACGTACAACACCCACACAACTTTGTTTACGTTTACAGGCTCATCAGTTGTGTACTGGAGTACCACTTGTTAATATTATATTTTGTACTGTTAATAATTCTTGTTATTCATCAACAAATATGACCATTAATCATAGTGCTTATAATAGCATTTCACTTGTTGTTATGATATATCTTCCATCAAGAGAGATGCTGAATACTAATATTATTTTATACTATCAAAATGGAGTAAAGTTTGAAAGCAACACTATAGCAATCAGTAAGTGACTGATATAATCATTAATATTTTATTATTATTAAGGTACTTATAATCTTCAGCGTATAATGATGGTTAATATTACATTTAACAAAGTTTGTCTTCAATTTCTGTTTTTCAATGGCAGCACCACTGATATTATTCGTATTCATATCACTAATTACGAAGAGCCAGTTCATTCACTAGTGTATTACAATATATCTCGTAATGATCAGTTGAACTTTACTGAGTGTATTACTAACATACCAGCTGGTAATAACTTAACACTGTATGCATGTGAATCAATGGAGGACTGTACTACTAATCCTGCTGCTGTATTAACTGGTATTTATATTAATGAAGTTCCTATAGTCTCTAATACTATGCTGACAAGCTACATAACAACTACAATTTCATCAGTTTCATCTTCAGTTAGAGCTACCATGATGATAGAGGATTGTAATATAAGGGAATGTCAAAGTGAAGTACCTGTTACTAGTGGTAAGTAATAAACATGCACATTTGAATTACTTTTACTGTTATTTCATTAATACAGCAGTATTGATTAGTGTGTTGGGTGTATTCCTCATACTATCACTAATGATTAATGTTATTACATTAACTGTGTGTTACTGCAAGAGGAGACAGGATGATCAAAGTATATTAATTTATGCGCTGAATACAGTAAGTTTTACTATGATGGATTGTATTACAGGTTCACAAGAGCAAGAACTATCATCAGTTAATCCACAGTATGAGAATGTACATCTACCAGTTCCACAATCAGAGCTATCAATGAAAGAATGTGCTGCTTATGGTGTAGTGGAAGGAACTAGGTTTTAAGACTTTGTGGTGATAATCAATTATTAAAGTTTATGTAATTTTAAAAGTATATTTTTATGGAGCATTTTTCAATTTTTCCTTTTAGTAATGTCATATATGCCCTACCCCCAGCCCCCTAATACTATGCCTTGTACTATAGCCCATGATTTTTTCCAAAAAATGGCTCCAAAATCACCTTAAATTTTTACAACCTTATGCGGAGTAGAAAGTTTGAGCTAATTCTGACTAAAAGTTTTGGCCATTTTAGAAAATTGGCCAATTTGCCATATCTTGTACCATATTAATATAATTTTTATAAATTATAAAGGAATTTGCACAATGCAAATTCAACAAAATTGTACCCTTCAAAAAGCACTTGTATGGCATTATAGTAGTTACTATTGTGCTCATAACCTACATAAGTATACTGATCCTGTGCAAACATGTAGCTACTACTAGACTGTTGAAGTAACAATGGTGGGAGAGCATGCAATATATATATACATATATATATATATAATATTTACTATATTTAGATATAGTAAATAAAATTAGGAACACTCTAAAATTGTCAAAAAGTGGTGTTTTAATTATTAAAATTGCATTACACCACACCTTCAATTCACACAGGGTCACACCTCCATAATCATGGCTCCTTTTCTGTTTGTTGCTGTAAGTATGGTCTCCCAAATTTACATGTCTTGTAAGTTTTATTGTGATACCATAAAAATTATAATTATTATAAATTTTAGATGCAAGTATTTTCACTATTGTACCAGTGACACAATATGTATATATCAATGATACTGTGTCATTTGATTGTGGTGCTAATGGGACTGAATACACCCTTGTTATTCTTAGTAGAGGAGCACAACCATCTTCACTAATATCTGTAACATTACCTAATGGTGTAAGGTTGCTATCCTTTAATCTAACAGCAACTAATGCATCAAATGGAACTGATGTTAGCTGCCTAGCATTTGGTGATGATGGAAATGCTAATGAAACTGCCTATCTCTATGTTCAAGGTAATTGTCAATATTATAGACCTGTAATATTATAAATATTCTCAGGTCCTCCTGATAGTGTCAGTAATTTAACAGGATATCAGTTAGATTCTTGTATGTTTATCAGTTGGTATCCTCCATTCACACTACCAGGACTAACAGTACAGTATATAATCAGTGTAGGAACTGATCAACAGTACCTTAATGACTCTATCACTAACTACACTTACTGTCCAATGAACCCAACCAATAAACAATATCTGTTTAACATTACAACTACTAATAAAGCTGGGAATGGATCTACTAGTAACATAACTGTTGGATTTCAATCAAGTAAAAAGCATCATAATTAATTTTGATTTATTATTTCTCTATAGGTTCACAGATTTCAATCATTTATCAAGATTCTTATACATATCATGTAAACAATTATTGGTACCTTCATTTTCTTTTATCAGTAAGTTAACCATACTCACACAACTTTGTTTACATTTAAAGGCTCATCAGTTGTGTACTGGAGTACCACTTGTTAATATTACAGTAACTGGTTGTACTGTTAGTAGTTCCAGTAGTACTTGTTATTCATCAACTAATATAACCATTAATCATAGTGCCTATAATAACGTTTCACTTGTTGCTATTATAAATCTTCCGTCAAGAGAGAGACTTAATACTAATATTATTTTATACTATGAAAATGGAGTAAAGTTTGAAAGCAACACTATAACAATCAGTAAGTGACTGACGTAATTATTAGTTTTATTATTATCATTAAGATACTTACGATCTTCAGCACATATCATTGGTTAATACTACATTTAACAAAGTTTGTCTTCAATTTCTGTTTGTCATTGGCAGCACCACTGATATTATTTATATTCACATCACTAATTATGAAGAGCCAGTTCATCAACCAGTGTATTACAATATACCTCTCAATCATCAGTTGAACTTTACTCAGTGTATTACTAACATACCAGCTGGTAATAACTTAACACTGTATGCATGTGAATCAATGGAGGACTGTACTACTAATCCTGCTGCTGTATTAACTGGTATTTATATTAATGAAGTTCCTATAGTCTCTAATACTATGTTGACAAGCTACATAACAACTACAATTTCATCAGTTTCATCTTCAGTTAGAGCTACCATGATGATGGAGGATTGTAATATAAGGGAATGTCAAAGTGAAGTACCTGTTACTAGTGGTAAGTAATAAACATGCACATTTGAATTACTTTTACTGTTATTTCATTAATACAGCAGTACTGATTAGTGTATTGGGTGTATTCCTCATACTATCACTAATGATTAATGTTATTACATTAACTGTGTGTTACTGCAAGAGGAGACAGGATGATCAAAGTATATTAATTTATGCGCGCTGAATACAGTAAGTTTTACTATGATGGATTGTATTACAGGTTCACAAGAGCAAGAACTATCATCAGTTAATCCACAGTATGAGAATGTACATCTACCAGTTCCACAATCAGAACTATCAATAAAAGAATGTGCTGCTTATGGTGTAGTGGAAAGAACTAGATTGTAAGACTGCGTGATAATAAACTTTTGAAAGTAAATTTTGTGCTAAGCATTTTAAATTTTTTAATTTTATGTTCATTACTGACTGTTATCAAAATGATAGCCATCCACTTGAGGGTGTGACTAATTTTAGTAGCATGATCAATGT